ACCACCAGGTAAACAAGCAAGAGTGAGATGCAGTAAAGAGTAAAGAAAACGAATATACAGATCCAGGATTCAGTGGCATAGCTTACATGTAATTGCAGTCTTAATTCTAAAATTATAATTTCAAACCAGTGTCCACATAATGGGCTTCCCTGGTGCCTCAGATGGTAAATAATCTGCCTGCAATGCGGGAGACCTGGGCTCTATCCCTGGGTTGGGAAAATTCCCTACAGAAGGGGGTGGCAACCCACTCCCGTATTCTTGTCTGGAGAATTCCATAGACAGAGGAGCCTGGAAGGTTACAGTCCATGGGGTCACAAAGAATCAGACACAACTGAACGACTGACATGTCCACATAATGAGGTTATATGTCTTATGAATGAAATTTCAAACATCCAAATTACAGAACTGCAATTCCACACCTGGCATCTATATAAACTCTCTGAGCCTCAGAATGACAATGCTGTAGATTTTGTATATGCCAATTTACACTAACCACAGATGAGGTTAATGATGGGCACTGACTCATTTTAAAAGCTTCCACCAGTCTATCATCTTGCACTTGCTTAGTCCTACTACCCTCCATCAATATACAACCTTTGAAAATGACTTTTAATAATCTGTGTGACTATGATTGACGGTTACTAACAACCACCAGTGAGAAGATAAAAATGGATTAACTTGATTCTGTCTTGATTCTATTCTGCACAGACAGACTACTTCAAGAAAAAAAAAAGTTTGGTGGGGGAAAATGTTACAACGGTTTGAGGTGTGGGACTTGGTTCAGAGTTCCAAAATCTACCATAACATACATCAACAGACAACAGTTGGGGTGTCCCCGGTGGCTCAGTGGTAAAGAATCCACCTGCCAACGCAGGAAACGGGGGTTCAGCCTCTGATCTGGGAGGGTCCCACATGCTGCAGAGTAAGCCCATGCACCGCATCTACTGAGCCTGGGCTCCAGAGCCTGGGAACTGCAGCTCCTGAAGCCCACGGGCCCCAAAGCCTGCGCTCTGCGACAAGAACAGCCACAGCAAAGAGAAGCCCAGAACCCAACCAGGGAGCGGCCCCTCACCTCAACTAGAGAAAAGCCACACGGCAGCAGAGTCAGCACAGCCAAAAACACACAATACAATTTCTATTTGTCTAAACCGGCCCAAAGGAGACATCTTGCTTGCTGTCATTAGTTCACTTTTACTTCTTTAATATTCAGTATTCTCAGCCCTCTCCGGCCCCTCCATTTTGCTCCAGATTTTGATTTGTTACAAAGCTGTATTTCATACCACCTTCTTCTGTGTGGAGAACTCTGCCTAAGTTTAACATGCCATAATTCAGCACTGTTGATTTCCTGCAGCGACAACTCTCTCTCTGCACGTTGCCCCGGAGCCTCTGCACCCTTCTCTTGCAGTCTCCATACTACAATCACGGATCCAAACTCCAGCTTAAAATACCACACATTAAATGCAAGCTTAGGCCTCATCTGCATTCTGAAATTGTCAGATGACTTTATATACCTACACATAACTTTTCTTAAGTGAAGGCAGTTTATCTTTAGACGGATACTGCCAAAGCACAAGCCCCCACCCTGTGCCTGAACATCACACTTAATGCGATTTTCATGAGGCGACTGTCATCTTGAAACAAGGCCCTGCCAGTGGCCAGATTGCTGCTGTTAGCGCCGCAGTCCAAGGCGAAATGACGAAGGATTTTGATTGCTGAGTTTAAAGTAGTAAATTAAAACACTGATGATGCCAAATATTCACAAGAACTGTATGAAAGTTCAGATCCTTTGACTCACTGGTTCCCTTCCTGGGACTCTGTCTTAAGAAAATAATTCAAAAAATTAAAAAATTTATGTTTACAAATATGTTTATTTCAACATTACCCACAAATAATGTGAAGCATTGAGACCAATGTTACTGTACAAAAATGCAGGAATTGTTATGTAACTTATGATGAATCAGTGCAATGGCCACTTATCAAGAAATCATGAAATGAGGCTTATTAAGACCATACATATAACAGAATAAAGTTTAGAAGCAAATCATAAGTGAAAAAAGAAAAATGAGAAAATGCACTTAAAAACACTAGAATGGACAAATATAAATTAATAATCATGATACAGAAATTCTTTTCCTTAAAAAGTTTTAAAATATTCTTTTACTTTTGATTTTAAAATAAGAAAAATAGGAAGAAAATAAGTTATACCAGAAAATCAATTCTCTGAAGCCAAACAGAAGCCTGAAAACTTGGGTTTTCCTATTCCTATGTAGAAAATTAAATTATTTTCAGAATTGGCAGGACCACACCATCTAATACTAAAGGTGAAAATTAGACAGTTCAAAACCTTGAAACTTGTTTTTTGGATGGATGTCAAATCATGCCCTGTGGCTTCAAAGAGATACAATAGCCAGAATAGAAAGAAATAGTGAAAAGGCTGTTTTATTACAAACCACTTATTCTCAAAACCAAGATATGTAAACTGTACTTGATTAGAAGTTCAAAGATCAGAAGTCATAAATGGAAGAGGAGTCAGAAAAAGATCCATCTTGGACCAGATGTATTCTTTCAGCCTCAAGATTTAATGGTTTTACTAATCCCTTAGTGAAGAGGAATTAGATGTTATTGTCAGGATCCACTGACTTTTTAGAAGAGCAAACTGTGGCATTATTACTGCCTCCCCAGGAAGTAGTATTGCTCCCTCTACTTGACACCGGCTGGTACTTACAAAAGAAGCTATGAAATGTACTGCATCTTCGCTACAGAAATTATGCCACCACTTTACAATAAATCCTTCCTCATAAAATCCCATCCTTGTCTTTAGAAAACTCTGTGATTGAAATGTGAAAAATTTTGTTGAAAAATCAATCAAATAAAAAATTCCAGGGTGGTCAATGTTCCAAAGTGAAATTGTATGTTTCCGAGGTCTGATCCATTTTCTTTATTTTGTAATTAACTGCCTAAATGCCTTAAGAGGGCTTCCCTGGTGGCTCAGAGGGTAAGGAATCTGCCTGCGATGTGGGAACCTGGGTTCGATCCCTGGGTTGGGAAGACCCCCCTGGAGGAGAGTATGGCGACCACTCCAGTATTCTTGCCCGGAGAATCCCACGGACAGAGGAGCGAGCCCGGGGGGCTACAGTCCACGGGGTCACAAAGAGTCGGACACGACTGAGCGACTAAGCACAGCACAGCAAACGCCTTAAGAAGCTTCCAGCTTCATTAGACAATCTGGGAACAGTAGGAATTTCCCCCAAATTAGCTGTCAAATTAGTCCTCTAGTAATATATTATTTCCTAATGCTAGTGTTGAAATGCTAAGGCATTCTGACAGATAACTGTTTGAAAATGTGAGCTCAAAGCTGGTAAGTAGTATGAAATATTGGTTTTGGAACCAGTTCTTAAGTAGAAGACAAGGCCAGCAAGAAAGGAGGAGCCAGTGATGAAGGTGCCAGTAATAGTCTGGGCACCCTTTCTGATACTGGCACAGTAATGTTGGCAAAGGGCTTCCCAACACTTGTAGAACAGTAATTAGGCTGGATATTTAAAAACAAAAAACAAAAAACCAACCTTCATTTGTGTAAAATAAGAATTCCACATTTTAGAATGAGATGAGAAAAAAAATATACATTAGAAAAATATAGAAAAGATAATTTAAAGTGGGTTATCATATGTTAAAGTCTCTAACTGGGAAAAGAACTTTCAAAATTTCACCTCCATGGAAAAAGAAAAAGTTGTCTAAGCTGATGTGCTTACTTGGGTCTCAACATCTTAGTCTAAAACTTCACTGCCCAATACCATAGCTTCTGGCCATGCGTGGCTTTTGAGCACTAATCTAAGTTGATATGTGGTACAAGTGTAAACCACATTGGATTTCAAAGATTTGGAATGGAAAAAACCGAATGGAAAATGTCTTAATATTTTGCATACTGAAATTGAAATTATAATATTTAATATAGATTAGATGAAATAGAAACATTGTTAAATTAATTACACCCATTTCTATTTACTTTTCCTAATGCAGCGACTCAAAAGTTTAAGATGACGTATATTGTTCATATTTTTGGGTTTCACTATATTTCTACTGAACCACAATTTTTCATCAAATGAATCAGTCCAGATTAAATTCCTTTAAAATCCCTTCTAACTATAGCATTCTGACACTAACAGAATAAAGGTCTAAGCTAATAAGATTTTTTTTCCTTCTTCCTTTTTCATTAAAAGTTTGTTATTGGAGTATAACTGCTTCGCACATGACATTCACTTCCGCTACACAACAGAGTATATCCGTCACACGGATACATGTCTCCCCTCTCCTGAGCCTGCCTCCCAGGCCAGCACTCGAGGTCTTTACACCCAGACTGGTGATCAGTACGGAGCACCGAGCCCGGCTCCCTGTGTTACACAGCCTTCCCAGCAGCCACTTACTTCACACGTGGTGGTATGTACATGTCAACGCTACGCTCCCAATCTGTCTGCTAATAAGCTTTAAACACAAAGTGAAATACAAAGTCACTTTAGAGAAATCTAGGTTGAATCACCATTTCGTATTTCTCCACACTTTTTCACCCATGCCCCCTCCTAATTTCTCGTTCTGTTCCCTGTGGATCCCCAATAGCCAAGAAAAAGGAATATCCATTTATTTATTTATAAACTGCACGTGAGCAGCTCATAGGACCATTCTGAACTGTCATTCAGTGATATTCCTCTGAATCACCTCTGAAACGTCTGAAAACTATTGATTCCAAGGCTCGATATCCAGAGATTCTGACTCAGTAGATGTGGGATAAGACAGGATCTTGTGCTTCTCAAGAAGCTGTCTCACAGGCTCAGCCAGGTTTGGGGATCAGTGGTCCAGCCTAACATACTTTATCTGTAACTGGGGTAACATGATTGGCTCTGGTACTGAGGCCCAGGGGCCTCCGACCTGGAGCCAGGATGCAGGTTTCCTAATCCCAGTTCACAGCATTGGTAACACACGTTCTGACACACACTCATAACACTCACTCTTCAAGAGCTCCCGCCACCAGTATATCTTCTTTGTCAGTTTTAACATCCAGCTCAGGTTCTCCACTAAGCAGAAGCTTCAAGTTATAAATAACCAGCAAAGTACCTAGTGGAAAAATAGATGTTTGACTTTTGTCAGTATTTAACTACACTAAGCATTAGACATGGTGCTATTATCTCACCTAAGGAATTCAGCCTGCAATAGACTAACTTTTCTTTTGTACTTCAGTAAATAAAATGCCTTGGTAAGTTCCAACATATGTCTTATATATGTCTTATAGCAAGCTCCACTTTCTGCCAGAGAACACTGAGTTTCTATAGCATCATGCTTCTTTTTAACTATCCAACTTATTATGTCTTTCAGTGTGGATCCTTCTCATAATTTGCATTATAAAAGCTGTTAGAAGCCTGAGCCAAAAAAAAAAAAAGAAGCCTGAGCCAAATTTGTATTATAGGTAAAGCTCTCATTGCCAGAACTGAAATCAATGCACATAAGAACAAAGATGAATTTCTACCATTTGTATAAATATGAAGTATTGCTTTGGTATAAATGTGTATAAATAGGAAGTAGACACTAACAGAGGTGTTGCTAAACTTTTTCTGTAAAGGGCCAGAAAACAAATATTTCAGACTTCGCAGGCCTCTTACAACTACTCACAACTCGGCTCTACAGTGGAGCATGAAAGACACTGCAGGGAATACACAAACGAATGGTGTAGTTATGCTCCAGTAAATGTTGATTGAGAAAAACAGTCACGGGCCGATTTGACCTGCAGGCCCTAGCTTGCTGATCCCTGCTCTAAAGCACAGTAAACAAAAACAATCCAAATTGTTTATAAAGTGGATTATAATATAAAGACAAACAGCACTGTCAGAGAAATTTGAAGGACAACCAATTACACTTTTCTTTTTGATAATGCTAAAATGGAGGGGAGAAGAGCAGAGTGACTAAGAATCTGGACTTGGACGTGGGAGCCTAAATACATGTGTGAATACCCTGGACCAACCATTTACTATCACAATGACTTCAGGTAAGGTTCCTAATCTATATGACAGAGCTCATAAGGCACTAAAACACAAGAGTTGTTTTGAGGATTAAATGAGTTAATTTTTATAAAGCATTTAGAAAAGTGTTCAGGAAATAGTACATCCTTCAGTAGTATATATATCAATATTTCATAATTAGAAGGCAACTAAAGAGATTATACATTAGCCATCCTTAAAGTACACCATGTATCTTGATGAAACAAATATTTAAGTGCCATAATATATCTTCTATGAGAAAGAGAAAAGGATGACATAAAACATTACTTTTAAACAAACTGCCACAAGTTAGAGGAGAAATTTGCTATAAACGTAACGTAAAACATAATTTTAATATAAACAGAATAGAATTTTGAACAGTAACATTAGAAAAAGCAGAATGCAAACAGCTTTCTCTAAAGCAGGAACCTTTTTGCTTCTAGAAATGAACAGTGGTAGAAGTCTGGGGAAAGACGGGCACGGAAGCCTGGACTTGTTACTCTATAAGCTGCTGACTCTCCTACAAACCCTGGGACGATCTAGTCTTGGACGCTGCAGAAAAGCATCTCCCGACACAGGGCGATGGGGAGAGGTCGTCTCTGGCACAGAGACTGTGGCACAGAGACTGGGCTCCCCACGAGCACAGCCGGCGTCAACCTCTCCTGCCCTGGCTTCACCAGGCTCCTACAAGGACAGGCATTTCTCAGCGCCAGTGACTTAACAGTTATTCCTCTTTGGATTCTCTAAGACAAAATGTACATAAATAAAACGAATAACTGCCCCATATGAGATTCCACATGGCATTTTAAATAGCACCAAGTGTGAAATCATATTTACAGTCTTTTGTATGATACTGAAAACAAACACTTCCACATTAAAATTTCAGGGTTGTGATGATCTTACCACATTTGCCGTAGATCACATTAAACTGCTGCATCAATTCAGCTTCAGTTTTAAATGGAGAATATTTATAAATAATAGACAATTCTGTTGAGAATTTTTGAGGATCATCTGTGACAGATTGTCTGGTCCCTGTTAACCATGAAGGTATTGGAACCACAACCTATTAAAAAATAAACACATCAATTTACTATGAAATACACAAATAAAAACCATCATTTTTTGGTCTGACCCTAATTCAGCCCATTTACCATCCAGCCAAATGATATAACACTAAGTGAAGAGTGTACTTGCCCCCAGCATTCTAGTTTGATAAGGAAGGGGCACAAAACAAGAATGTTTACTTAAGAGTTTTATTCTGTAATGTTCCACTACAGACATGGTGACTGATGGAATCTACCTCGGCCCCCTACAGAATTACGCGTCAAATGGCAGAGGGAACAACAGAATCAGCATTTCAGAAGCTGAAAAGTAAGACAGCATATCCAAGTAGCCAATCCGAAGCCCAGGCGAGAAATGAGAAGCAGCTGGCTGATTTACAGCTCAGAGCTCCCTCAAAGTCTCAGAGACCGCTGGCATGAGCCAGCTCTCGAGGCGGGGGTAGCAGGAGGAGAGAGCGGCCAGCAGCCCTGCTCCCCACCTGCATCAGCTCCTCGCCTCCTCCACCGGGCCTGGATGCGTACTCTCTAGTGGAAATAGTAGACAGAGCATGTCTGGGTTAGCGGATGTGTCAGGCACAGTCGGCAGGTGCCCGCGCTGAGACTGTGTGCTTAGCCACCGCGTCGGGTCTCACATTTTGGGACCCCACGGACTGCAGCCCACCAGGCTCCTGCGTCCCTCGCCTGGGGATTCCCCAGGCAAGAATACTGGAGGGAGCGGCCATGCCCTCCTCCAGGGGATCTTCTCAACCCAGGGATAGAACCTAGGTCTCCTGCATTGCGGGCAGATTCTTTACCTTCTGAGCTACCAGGGAAGCCTGTGAATACTAGAGTGGGCAGCCTATGCCTCCTCCCAGGAATCGAACCGGGGTCTCCTGCATTGCAGGTGGATTCTTTACCAGCTGAGCTACCAGGGAAACCCTTACTGAGATTACAGGGATTCAATGAAAGTACTCATATCGGATGCTGAGAACTGCAGATCTCTCCTCTCATTTGGCTCCCAGGTTCTGCCAGCTAGGACTTCAGGTAGAAGACTGTAGGAGTCTTGTCTGAGATATCTGACCAGCCCAGAGGGAAAGACATAAGGAAAATTACATGGAAGATTTCTCAATAAAACAGCCCAGTATGTATTATTGCAACCTGCATGGCTGCCAAGCCCGACCCACACTCTCAGAGCTTTCAACTGGCATTTTATTGGACTAATCTTAAAATCTGGAAAACTCAGCAGTGGCCACAGGACCGGAAAAGGTCAGTTTTCATTCCAATCCCACAGAAAGGCAATGCCAAAGAATACTCAAACTACTGCACAATTGCACTCATCTCACACACCAGTAAAGATATGCTAAAAATTCTCCAAGCCAGGCTTCAGCAATACGTGAACCGTGAACTTCCAGATGTTCAAGCTGGTTTTAGAAAAGGCAGAGGAACCAGAGATCAAATTGCCAACATATGCTGGATCATCAAAAAAGGGAAAGAGTTCCAGAAAAACAGCTATTTCTGCTTTATTGACNTGGGTGTTCATTGGAAGGACTGATGTTGAAGCTGAAACTCCAATACTCTGGCCACCTGATGCAAAGAACTGACTCATTGGAAAAGAAATGAGATTCCCAGCATCTTTCCCTGATGCTGGGAAAGATGGAAGGTAGGAGGAGAAGGGGAACAAAGAGGATGGGATGGCTGGATGGCATCACCGACTCGATGGACATGAGTTTGAGCAGGCTCCAAGAGTTGGTGATGGACAGGAAAGCCTGGCATGCTACAGTCCATGGGGTGGCAAAGAGTCAGACACGACTGAGGGACTTAACCGAACATTGTTGAAAGTCATTGCCACTATATAAGTGGGAAAGAGAAGGTCGCTGGTTTTATTTTTTTAAAAAAGAGAAAAGGAAATAGCTCATTTTAGGAAAGCTATAATCACAGCTTTGGCCCAATTTCCCATGTCCTTTACATACATAAAGTACAACAGAAATGCTTAAAGCATTGCTTTTCCTCACGTCAGAATCCCACTCAGCTACTCTCTGTTGCTTCTAGACTATTCCTATTAACTAGCCAGACTCCAGCACCACCAGCAGGCATGCTGGGCTCCTGCTGGACAGCCCTACACTTTCATACAACCCCCCAAACCCCACAGGCATCTCAGAAATGCCACGTGCCATTTCTCACCAGCCCAGATGCACCACTTTCCAGATGCAAATGGTCTTTTCCCCATAAACTCTCACTCAAGGCTCTCTAGTCTCTTCATCCATATCCTGCTTCAGACAATTTACTAGTAGCAGGAATACCCACTCATTTAACAGCATGCTTTTTAAACACCTTCATTTTGTTATTCATCCAGTTCATCCATGTCTGCTTGATTCTGTGACTAAACTGAAACACTCTGACAGTCAGCAGGTCTTCTTGTTTTCTACCTTCCACAGGGAATATCCAGCGCTGGGCAGAGAGCAGTGACTCAACGTGTTATTTGTTATACTGAATTACAACTGATGTTCATAATGCTAAAACTCAAACACTGCAAATTAATAAAATGTCTCTGGGCCAGAAAAGGGAGTTAAAATTATGGTCAAGAGAGTAATATTTTAAAATGTATTTTGCATTCAGTTTCTTCAGATGTTGTTTTCCAAGTCTTCTGTATTCAATATTCTATTTACTTTAAAAGTGATAACCTATTTATGGATAGGTGGTGGAAATGTTTTGCAGGCTTCTTCTAAAAAGCTCACAGCGCCAAAGGGAGCCTCTTATTCTGGAAGATATGTGTACAAGGATAGTAAAAATAATGTTCTGAAAATAGGTAGGATTAGAAAAACTACTCAAAAAAAGATCAATAGGACAGGCCTCCAATGACCCCAAAATGGTCAGCTACCCTCTATTTCCCAGATGTGTTCCTCAATTTCTAAATCGTAACAGGAAAGCACCCATGATAGACCTCACGTCCTGAAATGGTAAATTAAAATAACTTCACTGCCAAGGAAAGCAAAGAAGACGCTCAGCCCTTACCTCACTCAGACCCTCTCTTTCACAGAATGTCTGAGAAAAAAACACGCAGGTCATCGTTTCTTCTTTCTTTGTAAAAAGAATAAAGTCTTTTCCAATCCTCATGGATCCGCTATATTAAAAATGAAGAATATAAAGGTTTACATCTCAAACATTAGACAGAAGGGACAGGGGAGCACAATATTGCTCTATTCACTGAAATAACGCCACTGTTTTGCTGACTCTTCACCAAGGGAGTACAAGAATAATTTCTTTGTTTGTTTGATTTCTCAAAACAGAGCAGCGTTTGAACTAATCCAGCCCCGCAGTCTCACTTAAGATATGACTGCTGAGATAAGGTGCTGTCCAGGGCTGCAGCAAAGAAGGATCATGTGGCAGGTGCCACACAGGTGGCGTGGCCTCATGTCCTCACTTTTCATCGAGCAGACTAATCACATAAGCTCTGGACACATAACACCAACGCAAAGATATGCATCAAGAAGCAAACACAGAAATGCGATGAAGCTCTACGGTACACGGAAGCTACTTCCCCAATCTCTGAAAACAAGATTCATCCTCTATTCGTGAATTAAATTTTTAAAATGCTGTAAAGATTTAAGTCAGTTTGAGCATGGAAATTATAAAGCAAGGTAGGACTCTTAGGTTTATATTCTTTTTTAAGTTTTTCAAACATGGATCATTCTCAGTAAGACTTCCTTTAACCAAGTATCATTCCTGATAATCAAGATCAATAATACTTACATTATAAGAAAGAAGTCCTCACCTTTTAAGGCCATTGCCATATTGCCCAATAAACTTCAAGGTTGATAGCCGTTTCCTGGATGTTCCAAAGTAAATGATATCTGATGCTTCCTCTACAATTGACAAAGACAATATAAGTGGTTAGGTCATAGGAGTCTTCACGTTGGTCAGAGATCCAGTTGTCAAGATGTCACACGTATATTAAGGCAGATCCATACTTCTTGCGTGAGCGCAGAGAAAATGATCCTTGTCAGGCTCCATAATCTCTGCTGCTGCTGCTGCTGCTGAGTCGCTTCAGTCGTGTCCGACTCTGTGCGACCCCACAGACAGCAGCCCACCAGGCTCCCCCGTCCCTGGGATCCTCAAGGCAAGAACACTGGAGTGGGCTGCCATTTCCCTGTCCAATGCATGAAAGTGAAAAGTGAAAGTGAAATCACTCGGTCACGTCTGACTCCTTGCGAGCCCATGGACTGACTGCAGCCTACCAGGCTTGTCCGTCCATGGGACTCTCCAGGGAAGAGGACTGCATAATCTCTGACCAGGATCTTAAGAGCAATGTACTGACAAGAGGTCAGAGAGACCTAACTGTGTGACCCTGGGAAGTAGAGCCTTAATTTCCTTGACCCTAAATGGGAGCTATTAACACATCACCGAGTTGTTGACAAAGATAAAAGGAACAAATGAGATGATGTGTCAACCCTGAAAACAATACATGCCATTTGATAAATGCTAAAAATTAAAGATGCTATAATTATTTGTACCACTAGTAATTTTTCCATGGTTTTGGCCCTTATCCAGCCCCATGTGAGGCGGCTAACTGGGGAAGAAGAGCTATCTATTTCTGACTTTGAGAGTTCTTCTCCTGATCTCTCCAGGCATTCTGGAATTCTGGAAGAATCCTCTTAACTTCAAAACATACATACCTCTAAGAAACAGGCATGTTCCCAGGGAAAGGAAAAGACAGAAATGGGTCTCCCAATTGGGCTACACGCCCTGAATACACGCCCCAGATCTGTCCTGAGGACCCTGTGTCAGGCTGGGTGCAGACCTGCTATGGTGCCGTGGCACGGCTGTGTAAAGCCACTCCGCTTGTGTGAAGCTAACTGGACATTCATCACATGCTCTTATTAAGGGCTGATCAATGAGGACACTTTCAGCTACCCCTTACTGGTCGTTCAGCATATGCCAGGGCGGACAGCGTATGCTTTATCTGCATCACCTATTTAATATTTACAACAAGTCTACAAGGAAGATATGATCTGCATGTTACAGATGAGGAAATCTAAGTTTCAGGAGTTTATGTAACCTTCCCAAGGTCACACTGATAAATGGTGCCCCCAGAACTATAACCCAGAGTTGCAGAAGACCAAATCCTACGGTTTTTATCACCTACCACACAGACTCTTGTGTACGGTGGGCAGAGATCTGAGCACATGAACAGAACACTGAACAGGACAGACATGACCCCTGTCCTCAATAACTTTATGTCACGGAATGAGAAAAAAGCGGACAAACGAGATCCTTTCGGAGAGTATTAAGTGAAGGAAACAAAACCAGGAGAACGTTACAGGGAATTAACAAGAACGCAGTTTGCAGACAGAATGCTCAGGAAAGGCCTCCTTCATAAGGTGTCCTCTGACTTGAGGTTCAAACGATGGAGGGCCAGCCCGGTGTGGCTGGGGTGCCAAAAGCAAGGGAGAGCAAGGCACGAGACAAGGTCAAAGAGGTGGACAGAGGCCGAGCAATGCAATAAACGGACAGCATTGGGGAGTACGAATTCTATTCAGAAGTAACGAGAAATGACTGAGGGCTTTAATCAAGGGCATCACTATGCTCTATGAGAAGAAAAAAGTCTGCTCAGGATTGCTGTGTGAGGAATGCTCTATAATGGAGCAAGGCTGGAAGTGAAAAGAGTTTGGACATCACCTCTTCCAAAAGGTTGAGCTTGATCCAACTCAGCTTGGACAACTGATAGATTCTATTTTCGGTTAACACTTGAATTCCAGTGTTAATAAAGAATTGCTCTCAATACTAGTGACCCTTCTTAAAATATAACTGTATCTGTCAACTGAAGTGTGGATTTCTTCTAAAGAGTTCAATATTTGCCACTTATCTGTGTTTTGATTATTTTGTTTTTGGACCAATGTAAAGGAGTTGCTTCTTTTTTTAAAGAACTGCCTTAGAATATATCACACATAGTCTGACTATTTAGACCAAGGGGGTCTTCTGAGACTTGAATATAATTGCTTTAGTTTTTATTCTGAGCTTCTATTAGCACTGACGATCATTCTTTCCTCTGGTGTGGAACTGACCAGAACACTTCCATATTATTTAAACTCCCTCACCGTTTGTTAAATCTGGCTTGTGGGATATACACAACTGTTATAAGAATTCTAGGAGGACTTCCCTGGTGGTCTAGTGGTTAAGAATCTTCCTGCGAAATCAGGGAACATGGATTCAATCCCTAGTCCAGGAAGATCCCACACGCTTTCGGGCAGCTACTACTGAGTTACCGCCGTAACTGCTGAGCCTGCTCACCCTAGAGTCTGTGCCTTCAACAAGGAAGGCCGCCGCAACGAGCCAGCCCGCTCACCGCCAGCCCGCACAGCGCCAGCCCGCTCACCGCCAGCCCCACTTGCCACACCTAGGTGACGCCGGCACGCAGTGACGGCGACCCAGCACCGTCAAAGATAAAATAAATGATAAAATAAAATAAAGAGTTCAAGGATAAGGTACCTCAATTCATGAAAAGCCTTTCCCTAAAGGAATGCTATCTCAATTCCACAGCAAACAGTAATTTGCACCTACTATGTGCTGCCTTTCACTAGCCTTGAAGATACAAAGATAAATCATGCAGTGCATGGCGGATACTTTCACTGTGATGAGAACATTCAGTTGAAGCAACTAAACCTTTGAACATGCAGGGAAGAAGCACAAACCACTAAAAACAAGGAAGGGTGACCCCTACACCTCAAGGTTAAGCTGAAAATTTTAAACGGTGAAAGCCACTTCAGACTGCCTCGGCAGGTCTCTTCCAAGTTGTACCCACAGAGGGTGCTCTAGATAATCTCAGAGTCCATCCAGTTACTGTTCGGTTCATCCGCTCCCAGATGCTCTTCCTTGTAAGAACTCTGTACCTCGTGTCTGTCATTTTTCCAGCAACACTGATTTACGCTCACTTTTGGTCTTGCTTCAGATGGTTACAATGAATTTACTGTCAGCGGGAACACTTAAGCCTAAAAAGCTCAACAATAAGTCTGGGGTTTATTTTCCCTAATAGCTCCATACCTGTTTTTATATAGATAGCTCAATTTATTCTTATTTATTTTATGGGTTTTCAGACTGTTTGTTCTAACAGGCAGGTAGGAATCTAGATAATTAACTTACCAGGACTCATACCACATCCATCATCCAGGAAGCACAACATGAATCCACCCTGCAGTTCTTCATTATCCACTGTAAGGCAAAGCAGTTATTACTAATAAATAGTGGGCTTAATTTGTTCATCAGGAAGGCATGCTGCTCACATAATTATCTGTCCTCCCCAAATGCAGTCACTTATGGCACAAGGAAGAAGCTCAGAAAGTCATCTTGGCTATAGTTTCCTGAGAAACTGCAGCGGGAAAACAATCATGCAACAAAAAGACTTTAAACTGACTTAAAACATGTTAATAAACTACATATACAGCATGCATGCTGCAGTCCATGGGGTCGCAAAGAGTCGGACACAACTGTGCAACCGATCTGAACTGATCGCATGACAAGCCCTGTTTGGGAATCGGACTGGTCCTTTAAACTTCAGGTGTTTTCTCCCTGGAGGAGGGAATAAAAGGAGCCAGGGTGTGACTCCAGGGTCTCTCTATCAATTGATCAATGCTGACACCCTTCCACCAAAGCACTAATTTAAAGTCAATCCAGGTCATTCTCATTAAACTCATCAAGCTCTCTTCCAAGTAGCTAATTCCCATGAGAGCCATTTGTGGCTGCTTCAAAGTGGCAGCAAATACTTACCTCTTGAAAATGTAAATATTTTTGAAAATACCTAAGTTATTTGGAATCATCTTTGATGATGAAGAAATATCATTCAATTACATAATATAATCTCTTATTTAAAAATTTTGAAGGTGTAACTAAAACTAATGAAGACTAATTTCAATGCACAGTTTGTAATCTGGCTCTCAAAGAAATTTCAACATTTGGATATAGTGAGCCTCTCTAGCAAGCCTCTCTCTTTCAATAACAACTTTATTGAGAAATAGATTACACACAAAAAAAGCTACATATATTTAACATGTACTATCTGACGCATTCTGACACAGGTAAATATCCGGGGAACCATCACATCAAGGTAGTGAACATGACCATCATCCCAGGAGCCTCCTCCTGCCCCTGGTCTCTCCCTTCTGACCCTTTCATGCTCTATCACTCCCGCCCCATCTCCAGGCAGCCGCTGATTTCCAAATTCCATCCTTACAGATTCATTTCTAGCACACCAGTGAAGTCAACTCTGTGTTCAATGCTTACCTCTCACCTACATTTTTTAAATGTTCAAGATAATCGATAAATAAGTACCTAAAAATCTTACCTGTGCCTTCTGGGTTCATAATGTTATAGTCATGTGTCCACTTGTAATCCCCCCTCCTCCAACTCACTTCCTGTTTACAAACCCTTTGGATGTCCCCAACCATCTCATTTCTGGTCTGCTTACCTCAACTTCTGTGTCGGAATATTCCTACCCTCTTTACGAATTTGCTCTGTTCAGCCCTCCCCTGACCAAGGCTCCATATTCAACTCCAGTTGAGTTCTCTGCACAGTGCAGTAGCTCTCAACCCTGGCTGCATCTGTGAATCATCGAAAGGGAGTCTAGCTGGTCTCGGACGGAGTTTAGGAATAAAAGCTCCTCCTGATTACCCTAAGGTTTATCAGATCTGGGAACTGCCTGATACAAGTCTCAGGCTGGGCAGCTGTGACGACTGATTCTGCAGCTCTTGGTACACAGTTCTCACGGAAGAAAGCAGGGTGCTTCTCTGGTGAATGGTGGAAAAGACCCAAAATCCCCAAGAGTTACATGTGCACGCTCAGTCGCTCAGCGATTTCCGACTCTTTGCAACCCCAGAGGAGCCTGCTGGGTTTCTCTATCCATGGGATTTCCCAGGCGTGAATACTGGAGTGGGTTTCCATTTCCTTCTCCAAGGGATCCCCCTGATCCAGGGATCCAGCCTGCATCACCTGCCCTGGCAGGTGGCATCTTTACCACTGAGCCTCCTTGGAAGCCCATACAATGCTTAACTGTTCCATAAACTCCAATGAGGGCTTACAGACAATCACCACCTAAAATGTAGTATTCCCTCCCCTAGAACTCACTCTGAGCCTTGGCCTTGTTTACTTCGGCCCCTTAAAACTATGGATCTCAGACTGATTCCTACTATAGGTTAAGAGTGGGTGTGTGTGCGTGCTTAGTCACTCGGTCATGTCCGACTCTCTGCGACCCCGTGGACTGCAGCCTGCCAGGCTCCTCTGCCCATGGGATATCCCAGGCAAGAATTCTGAGTGAGCTGTCACATCCTCCTCCAGGGGATCTTCTTCCTGAGCCAGGGACGAACCTAGCTCTCCGGCATTGCAGGCAGACTCCTCACCATCTGAGCCATCGGGAAGTCTGCATGTCCAAAGCAAACCACAGCACCTTCCCCCTCATCAGACTACCTCCTCCTCCTGGGGCTTCCCGCTCAAGAAACGGCATCTCTCTGCCATCAGGCTTTGGCTGCCTACGTCAAAGTCTCAGGATCAAGTTCTCCACTTCCTGACCTGACGGAAAGGCATGTCTGCTCAGTTCCACCTCCTCATGTGTCTCAAGTCTGACCACTTCCTCCATCCCCACAATACGGCCTTGGTTCAGGAAACCACCATGTCTCTTCTGGATTCCAGCAGCAGTCCCTACCCCCTCTGCTCCTTGCTCCCACAGATGAGAGGGTGCAGCCAGTCTGCAGCCGATCACGGGTTTCACGGCTCTCCTGCCTANAGTAAAGCAGGTACCCTCTCTATTGTGGGTTGGCCTCATCCAATTGGTTACAGATTGTAAAAGCAAAGACTGAGGTTTCCCAAAGAAGCATCAATTTTCTGCCTCAAGACTGCAGCACAGAAACCCTGCTTGGGCGTACAGGCTGCTGGCCTGCCTAAAGATTTATAACTCAAGACTGCAACATCAACTGTCACCTGGATTTCCAACCTGCTGGTTGCCCTGCAGATTTCACACCTGCCAGGCCCCATAATCAAGTCAGTCGACTCCTTAAAATAATGCCCCTCCTCCTCTTCCTCTCTCTCCACTATACGTCTATCAGATAGAATGAGAGAGACCGAGACGGACGGCAGACAGACAGACAGACGGAGAGGGCAGAGAGAGAACGGGGTTGGCAGACATCTCTGCCTACCTACCAATGGCGCTGTCCCTCTGAAGAACCCTAATGCGCCCTCCGCGCTCATCTCTCGCCATCCTCTCCCCTGGCGGTGCTGCACTCTTCCAGCTCCACACAAGCACTCACCGTGGGCTTAATCGCGAACATCTCTAACATTTCTGCAACACCATCACTGTCCTATGTTCTCTCCAGATTCAAGCCACTATATGTTCTGCTCCTTCACACTTTCCACACTTGATTCTCCAGGCTCAGGCCTGTTTTCCTTTCATTCCCTAGTTCGTATACTATTTCTTCTAGGAAGACTTCCTAATTCTTCCACATCATCAAGCAGCCATAATGAATGCTTTCCTTGTAACTTGTGTTTCCTACTTTTCAAAGTATATTCAAACACCTGTTGAGGCATCCGTTTTTCTTCCAGACAAGTGGTTCTTCTACTTTCTGGAACTCAGATAACTCAGAGGTATGATGAAAGCTAAGGGCCTTCTACTCATAAAAGTGAAACTGCATACTGGATTTTCCACAGATCCTTTACTAGGATGGTGATTTCTTAAAAGGAGGCCCTGAGTATACTCATCGCTTAGCCCAGAAGTGGTAAGCACTAAAACATGTACAGAATGCATATCCATGCTTACTAGAACTAGTACACACAGACGGATAAAACAGCCATGTCTGAACATATTCAGTTTGGATTTTATAGCCCTAAAGTTAAAGGAAACTTAAGATTGGAAAGTAATTCACATGTCTCAGTAAATAATTTAAAAACTAATCTAGTGCTTAATTTTGCACCCCGATACCAATTCTATCTATTGGTGCATAAGGCTTTGCCCTAGTTTATTTTTTTCATCATTTTTAAGAAAAATCAATTTGCTAGGTTGATAGCCACATTATGGTTTGCAGCAATAAAAAGTTTTATAACATGAATAGGTAATTTAAAATTTAAAAACCGTAAGTTCAGTTTTTCACAAAACACATAAAACCTAAATACAGAAAAAAGAGCCCCTTTCAATGCAAACTGCCAAGATGCTTGTTTATTTTTTGTAATAATGCCAAGTGCTAGAGAAAGTGGGGTGAAGTGAACACTACCATGCTCCGCTGGGCTCCTGTATTCCCCCAAAAGAACATATTGTGTGAATTCTGATCATTTGATCACTTTTGTTGAAATCTGTGATTCCAGACAATTCTTCTCAACCCTGCAACCCTTTATCAACCATATGTGTGCTCTGAATGAAATTCAGCTTGAATGTTTTCTCCCGTCTCCACGGTGAGGACCACTGCCTTTGTTTGAATCTGCATGAAGTCTTATGTAGACCGTCCCACAGATGCCCCCTTGTCTGCTATCCTTTCACACTTCTGCAAACCATCTACAAACAATCCTGTAATCTCGCTGGAGTAGCTTTCTTTAAAAAGAAAAGAGCACATTTCTGATTTGTCAAATGACATTGCTCTAGACTACTGAACGGTCCACTGGCTACAGAAAGAAAATAACCTTAGTCTGGTATTCAAGGTGCTCATCTGATTTGGCTCTAACTCTCAGCTCTAGTCAACCTAGCCCAGTCATTGTCTCCTGGATGCTTTTTCTCCAAATATATATAGGGCCCACTCCCTCACTGTCATTCAGGTCTGGGCTGGCTTACTACCTATTTACACTGACTTTCCCTCATCACCCCATGAAAAATGGTACATCTTTCCCATCACTCTCTGTTCTCTTATCCCCCATCTTCTTTTTTCGTTTTAGCACTTATTATGACCTGGCATATTACTTTCTTTTCCACTTCTTTACTGTCTAGCTCTCCTCATTAGAATGCATGTTCCACGGGTGCACAGGCTTCAGCAAACATGTGCTCCTTGCTCTGTCCCCAGCACCCAGAAAAACTGCTTGGCTCATTCGTAACAGACACTCAATAAGCTGTTACTGAATAAATGAATGAACTAGTCTACCTGCATTCTTTTTCTCACAATTATTCCTCAGATGGGAAAATTCTTCTCTTCCCACACTACCTAACACCAATCACATCCATATTTCAACCCCTGGCTCTTCAGGAAGAGGCATTCTTTCTCTGTGTTCCTACCATGCTGAGAGTTTCTCCTAGAGTGTCTCCAAGAGACACTTGTCCCATTTTCACTTATATAACTGGATACAGATGGAAGGGTGGGTGCCTGACGCGCTCCCACACAGAGCCCCACACTCCAAGAATCTGTCAGCAGTGAAGACCAGTGCTCTTATTTCTCAAACTTCTCAGAACCCAGGGAGCAGAAAGCGAAGGAGAGTGCCATTTACTTGGTTTTCTCAAATCTTTCAAGATGCGCATGAACCAGAACCAAAACCTCTTCCTCACGGGCCACGAGCACCCACCTAGCACAAAATCTTAAGCACTTAGAGAACGGAATTGAACTGAGTCGCTTTTTAAATACTGATAAGGATTCACATCATGAACCACGTCCTCTGGCCTGTGACCAGCAGCCAATGTTTAAAGGAGAGCTGACAGAATCCAGATTGGGGATCAGCTTTAACCCAACAGGTGTTTCTCCAGGTAGTGTTAACTACAGGACTGGATCACAAACCTAACTTCTTCTGTGTTCTAACGAAAAAAACACTAGTAAGTGAAATAAATATTTGGTAACTGAGAATGAAGTCAGTAAAGAAAACATGCTTGGTTTGAATTGTATGGCCTTCCAACATTCATACTGCACATTCACTTATGCACTTTAAAACTGTGATAAGTTGGGAATGACATATAATTAATTATGAATATGCATCAAGTTAATATTCACTTTAAAATAAAACAGCTTTCCCATGGCAGACAAACTGCTCCAACTCACTCTGTTGCTTTCACAAAACCCTGGAAGATCTAATTTTATAAATGAGTCCCCTAACAAGTGAACAATTTCACTCAGTGTACTGTTCTCAACCTGGCTCCCCACAGGGTCCCTGATGCACAAAGCACTTAGATTGCATTAATAATCTATAGAATGTGGTTTGATTTTCATGAAATAAAAGAAAATCAAAATAACTACAGGTTTTCCATTAGAAGAAAAAATAAAAAAGCAAATGTGCTCACCTGAAAACACATCAAGTCTCGCAGCCCCTGCATCTCTGAAAACAATATAAAAATATTATTGCTTCAGTTTGATATTGCGCTTTTGAAAATTACATTAATCTGAATTGCTCATGTGACAGATGATCTACTGTCAGATAACAAACAATGGAGAAATCCACTTAAATTTCTTTAAAAACAATTACTAAAATATTCTTCCCTGCATTTGTAGACTAAGATTTATGATCACTCATGATTTGAGAATGCTACAAAGCCTAATACTCAGAAATTTAAAAGAAGAGATAGAATTTAGTGGCAGTTACACAAGAAGCTCAAGTAAATGGATATGAACATTAAAAAAGTTGCTTGGAAAATAATCCAGAAGTCATATAAAGATTTTCTTATATTTTAGAACAAAAAAAATTGCTTATAGGGATTGGGGGCAGGAGGAGAAGGGGACGACAGAGGATGAGATGGCTGGATGGCGTCACCAACTCGATGGACACGAGTTTGAGTAAACTCCAGGAGTTGGTGATGGACAGGGAGGCCTGGTGTGCTGTGGTTCATAGAGTCGCAAAGAGTCGGACATGACTGAGTGACTGAACTGAACTGACTGACCATATGATCACATTTTAAAAGAATATATGTAATATACATGTTTGTGTCTATTAGAAAAGAAATCAAATGTTAACAGTGGTTTTCTCTAGGTCAGAGTTGACAATCTATGGTCTATGGGCCAAATCTTGACCATAACTATTCTTTGTGAATAACGTTCATGGAACACAATCATGACCACTTATTTACATATTGTTATTTACACATTTGTTTGCGTGTTGCCTGCAGCCTGCCTTCACACTGTAATGGGACATTTGAATGGCTTCCACAGAGGACATGTGGTCTGCAAAGGGGAAAATCCTTAATACCTGGCCTTTTACAGAGAAGTAAGTTGTATACACCACTCCCCGGCCCGCCCATGAGCAGGTTACCAGCGCCTTAGCTTTCTCTTAGTTGTCTACAATTCACAGATAATCTTTGTGTATTCTCTTAATTTTTAAACTAAAAACTTTAAAAGGCAAGGAAAAAGAGCCAGAAGGTCCAGATTTCCACATGAAAGCTGTGAGAGAAAGGCAGAAGGTAGTGGGGTCTTAACTGACGAGGAAGTGAGGATGTTGAGGAAAGGGGGAATCTAGAAGGAAACTCAGAACAGTAACAATGGGACTCAGACAGGGAAACCTGTGTCTCCCAAAATTTCTGTAAGTCCCAACCCGAAACTAGCCTAGGTCAATCAGGTAGGTACACTGTCCTCATCATACAAAGCTGGCCCCTTAGCTCAATTCTCTACCCAACTTCTTCTTCTAATGCTTCCTCCACAGAAATTCTGGAGTTACCACGGCCCTTTCTTGGGCATTTTCTATGTGACAAATTCTGAATGCGGTATCCTTAAACCTTTCCACCTAACCCTTACCACAATCCATGACCCACAGGTATCATAATCTCCATTATATAAGCACACATTATACAAGGCACCATGTGTACAATAGTTGCTCAATAAATGCCACGATACTAAAATATTTTTTCATAGAAACAGTTTCTTCACAGAGAAATTTCATGGGGTAAGAAAGCAAAGTTATTCACCTTTATAGCATGTTAAGACATTCACAATAAGCTCTGTACTTAAATCCAGGTACTTTCTCCCTGAACCCCTGTTGTATTAGGAGGGGTCCCCTAAGGATTTTCTTCCTGTCCCATCATGTTTTTTCCTACTCTTTCCACAACATTCTTTTAATACCGTCCAGTTCTAATTTAGACAATAGGAAACCATCAAAATCTTGACTACAATGATATGAAATAGCATCTCAGAGTAACACAGGGACTTTATGAAGACCTCTATAAGATCAGCAGAGGACCCTGAGTAAGTCTGTTAAATAGCTTTATTTGTTGTCAATTACTGGCATCGAGACTTCCCTGTGGCTCAGATGGTAAGGCGTCTGCCTACAATGCGGGAGGCCCAGGTTTGATCCCTGGACGGGGAAGATCCTCTGGAGAAGGAAGTGGCAACCCACTCCAGTACTCTTGCCTGGAAAATCCCATGGGAGGAGCCTGGTAGGCCCCAGTCCATGCGATTGCAAAGAGCCAGACACGACTGAGCGACTTGACTTCACTTCACTGGCATCTAAGCAGTGGGGACAAACTCCAGTATCCCCTGAAGACAGACAAGTTGAGGAGTTCAGGCTGGCTATGGAGAACCCTGGGAATGGCAAAGCTGAAGACATAGGCACATAGATGTCCCAAGAGCACACCTGCTACACGCCTGATCCTATTGAGTTGGTCTCAAAGTTGCTTCATATAATCTTAGGGAAGAAAAAGCGTGGGATCCAGTTTTGGAGTTTTTTTCACATGGCACTTCATCTTCTCAAACTTTATAAACAATTCCTTCCTCTTATTCTTTATGAATACTGTACAAAGTTTCACTATGAGTCAAACATGAGGCAAGCTAGACTTGGTCAAGGTGCTGCCAGATTACAAGCACTGCTCAAAGAACTGTTCAATGGATCGTATTTCTACCACTCCCCTGAGTCTGCAGTCAATCTTTCTTTGCCAGTCACTCTCCATAAACTAGTCCCATTGTTGGATTTCTTCTATACTCTGATGTTACTTGCCCTCCTTTGTTAAAATGAGTAAGTGAAGCAACTTTATAGGCGAAAAGACAGTAGGAAAAATGCACCAGTACATTCTTTCACAGTTACAGGCATCAAGTTGCTGAAAACAGAACTTTAGTAGGACAGAGGGTTAATGGATACGGGAATACTGCTTCAGAGCTTGAACAAATAGCAGAAACACGGCCTTCCTGTAGAGAGATGAACCACGAACGGTCGTGTGCAGCGGCCGGATCCCTGTTAGCTCTATCTAAGTTGAGTTCACAGCTCTTCTGACCAACCGACTTTATTTTTTTCTTCTTTTCCCTCCTTTTGCTGATGACTATGATTCCATGTGTTCTGCAGAGTTTCACAAAAAGGGGAGGCAGGGACTTTTTACTTGGTGTTGGGCTTTGCTGAGCAGGAAGGGGGTCTTGCTGGCTGTTTAAATGGCTACACCCTATGGCCACAGTCACCTCCCTTCTAAAGCTAAAAATGAGGCGAAAATGTAAAACACTGAAATACAGTCATCAACCAGTGGCAGGGAATATATTCACGAAATATAAATAATATATAATATACATTGTGCTGTTGTTCTTAGTTGCTAACTCATCTCCAACTCTTTACAACCTCATGGGCTATAGCCCGCCAGACTCCTCTGTCCGTGGGACTCTCCAGGCAAGAATCCCGGAGTGGGGTGCCATCTCCTCCTCCGGGGGATCTTCCCGACCCTGGGATCAAACCCCCCTCTCCTGCACTGGCAGCAGATCCTTCACCACTGAGCCCCAGGGAAGCCCCGAGCCGTGCTGTTCTTAACTGCTCACTACCGCGTGACTCCTTGTGACCCCACGGGCTGCAGCCCACCAGGATCCTCTATCCATGGGGATTCTCCAGGAAAGAACACTGGAGTGGGCTGCCTTACCCTCCTCCAAGGGGTCTTCCCAGCCCAGGGATCAAACCCAGGTCTCCCGCATTGCAGGAGGATCCTTTACCGCCTAAGCCCCCAGGGAAGCCCAATAATACAGGAGTAGGTAGCCTGTCCCTTTTTCAGGAGATCTTCCTGACCCAGGAATTGAACCAGGGTCTCCTGAATTGCAGGTGGATTCCCAGCTGAGCTACCAGGGAAGCCCCATTACATGGTTATTAACACAGAAACAGATGTCCAATTTACCGGCACTTCAAGTCTAATCATAAATACAAACTGAATAAAAATAAATAATTTCTCCCTTCAGCTGTTCTTTCTCCTATCATACCTTGATTTTATAGGAAATCAACTCATGAAGCATTCCAAGTGGAGAAAATGACATCATTTTTTCATCTAATATGGCTAGACTCTATTATTGTCACAAAACTCCTTTGAATAACCTTTGTTTACAATAAGCCTTACCTTGCATTGTCCAGCAATTCAGCCAGTGCTCCAAAAAGGAACCTGTGAGTGATGCTAATGAAGAAATAGAGGGAAAATAAAAGTTAAACCAATTCTGTAATCAATGTAAAAGGTTCAAGACACATGCAATGTTTAGTTTGAGGTAGACAATCAATTAAGAAGTTATTCTAGAAATCTCTCAGCACAGTCAAGATTCTGAAGTGCAGGTACTCCATGACAAAGTCAGGGCTAAGGACCCTGTCACCAAAATATCTTATTTACTCCTAATAAAACAAAGACTTGAAGGACCTGACTGTACTGAGAGCAAATTTGGACATTTTAATATTGCTTTATAAGCATTTCAGCTTTCCAGAAAATGTTTCACTAAAACTATATTATTTAAGGCCAAATAATTTCTGGAAAACCTTGACCAAAATCCAGACTCACTGGAAGACCTGAAGATTTCATCTGTGGACAAAGGTATTGGCAGGGTACCCCTGTCTGCACCACTAACCTACATTTTTCTGCGGAATCTTTTCACCTGGGAAAAGCCCACGCCCTAAATAATGTCACAGATGACCAGCATTCACCCTCCCCTGTTCCCCTCCTGACAAGTCCTGGGTACAGAGAGCACTAGACGGCCATCACTGCCGCTCCTTCGAAGGCCGACTGCTTCTCTGCGGGGGGAGTCACACTGCCTTCAGGTTCCCACACGTGCTTCCCACTTCCTGATGTGGGTATTTCAATCGGCAACCTTAACGTAGCATGAAGGGAAGATTCAGTCAGCAGTTTTCTTTTTATATATAGTACGCAGGTAGAAGAAGCGAGAGAAGCACATTTATCAGCAAACATCTGCTCATTTGTCTCATATTACATCCTCTGTTTCACTCTAATCTGTGAGTAGTTCAGAAGGGCCATTCACTGGCCTTTTTATGCCACTCCTGCATTAGTAGAGAGAAATTAAGTTTGGCCCTATCTGCCAGATTTGGGATAGTTAGGATGACGGGGAAAGGAATCCTCAGGCTCCTTCTTAATCCAAACAAAACTAAATTGGATAACTAAATTGGAATTTTAAATGGAATTAAATTTTTTAAAAAATTTAAACCTTTAAAAAACCTTAAATTCGCTAGTATTCAGACTTTGTTGATCCCCTCTAGTTTGAAAATATTATCCTCTTATAATAAGAGTGAAAAGCTTGGGTACAAGCTTTAAAAAAAAACAAACTAAAAAAAAAAAAAACTACATGGATTGCAATTTTTGTTTTAATGACACAAAAATTAATAGACTGTCTTACATACAGCTATCATAGAGTGTTCTGTGATTTTTTTTTTCCCTGCAGAGTTGTTATGCATGCTCACTGATTTCATTGTTTGACTTACAAATATCTACCATCGCTTTCAAAATGTTAGTATTTTAACATTTTGATATGTTAAAATATGGTTAGTACTAATACTAACCATCTGTAATTTCCTTCATTTCTCAATAAAGAAATAGCATAGGATGGTCAACAATTAAAAAAAAAACAAACCTGCTAATTTGTACAGGAGAAAGGATCATCTGCAATGTCTCAGCAACTCCAAATACCCCAGACCACAGGACAACGCTGTAGCCAAAAATTTATTTCTTAAAAATGCATACACATATCTATTTTGGGAATGGTGACTGCAGCCATGAAATTAAAAGACGCTTACTCCTTGGAAGGAAAGTTATGACCAACCTAGACAGCATACTAAAAAGCAGAGACATTACTTTGTCAACAAAGGTCCGTCTAGTCAAGGCTATGGTTTTTCCAGTGGTCATGTATGGATGTGAGAGTTGGACTAATAAAGAAAGCTGGGTGCCGAAGAATTGATGCTTTTGAACTGTGGTGTTGGAGAAGACTCTTGAGAGTCCCTTGGACTGCAAGGAGATCCAACCAGTCCAGACTAAAGGAGATCAGTCCTGGGTGTTCATTGGAAGGACTGATGCTGAAGCTGAAACTCCAACACTGTGGCCACCTGATGCGAAGAGCTGACTCACTGGAAGAAACCCTGATACTGAGAAAGATTGAGGGCAGGAGGAGAAGGAGACGACAGAGGATGAGATGGTTGGATGGCATCACCGACTCAACGGACATGGGTTTGGGTGGACTCTGGGAGTTGGTGATGGACAGGGAGGCCTGGTATGCTGCGGTTCATGGGGTCGCAAAGAGTCAGACACGACTGAGTGACCGAACTGAACTGAACTGAAACTATAAACCCATGCTTATGACAGTGGGATCTCTTGACTCTAGTCAGCTTTCAAATTTTTCATTAAAATAAACCCACTAATACAATTGCTGCAAAAAGGTGTCCTTCAATCAAGAGAAATTTAGTACTTAAAAATCTAAAATACAGCAAAAGAAATATGCTTTACATATTTACATATTTCAGTGATATGCTTTACAAAAGCAGTACTTCAAACCATAAGCCTTTCTAAACAATCCTTCAGAGAAGTAACTTCAATCATTCTGACCAAAAAAAAAAAAGAAAGCCATATACGCTTCTGTACTATTTCACTCAAGACTTTTACTGACTTCCTGCCATGTGCCAATGTGGGCAGACATGGGCTTTACACTTTCGGGGCTCAAGCTAGTGGGGGATATGAAAAATACACAAGTAAAACATATAAAGATGATAACACAGTGATGCAGAAGTCTGCTGAGGAAGGCAGAGCCTCTCTTCACAGAAGACATGGACTGAATCCTGCAAGATGAGAATTCAGTCCCTTGCAGAGCTAGAGTGGAAACCCTCCAGCAAGAACAGGACGTGCAAAGTCCTTGAAGCAGAAAAGACCGAAGGAGGCCAGTCTGCTCCCGCTGCAGTAAATCTAGGCGATCACATTGAGAAGTGGGATGGTCAGGTCATGGAGCACCTCCTCCTCCACAGTTAGAAGCTCATACTTGGTCCACATGCAACTGGAAACCATCACTGTGCTTTAATAAAGTGACGTATCTGGTGTACGTTTTTAAAAGCTCACTCTGGCAGCTTTCAGAAAACCTGATCATAGGGGAGCAAGAACAGGAAGCAGAGAATCCGGTATAGAGCCTATGTGATATCCAGAAAAGAGATGGCATTAAATACGAAGAGAGACAGATGCATCTGAGACACAAAAGAGAGCATGAAGAGGACTTGAGGATGGACTGGATGTGGGGGTGACACAAAGGAGGAATAAAAAAGTCACTGCTGTTTTACTGAGGCAAGTCTCCATAAAGACAAGTCTCAGTCAAAACTCTTAACTCGAATTACTGTATGATGACCCTTATATGTAGAATCTAAAAAGAAATGATACAAATGAACTTATTCAGAAAACAGAAACAGAGACTCACAGACTCAGAAACAAGCTTATGGTTGCCTGGGAGTAGAGGACAGTTAGGGAGTCTGGGATGGATGCACAAACATTGCTACATTTAAAATGATAACCAACAAGAACATACTTCAGAGCACGCGGCAGCCCGGATGGGAGGCGGGTTTGAGGGAGTGGATACAGGTGTATGCATGGCTGAACCCCTTCGCCATTCACCTGTACCTATCACAACATAATTACTCGACTATACCCCATTACAAAATAAAAAGTTTAAAAAAAAATCTTATCCCAGGGACCTGAGAGTAACCCAAGTTGTGGCTGATTTTGCCGCTGCTGCTGCTGCTGGGGCAAGCTGCCCTCACTTCTGTTATTAAGTTACCAGACCACCAACTGATAATGCGGTGGTTTGAGGGAGGTAGTTTGCAGGGGAGGCGGCGGCTAGGGAGCAAAAGAGCTGCAGAAACTAGACAAAAATGAGGCTAAAGAACTTTCTAAGATAAAATGCAGCCTTTGCAGCACTCGTAATTTTTCTTCCACTTACTCAAAATGACTAGAGCTCTTCATCTGTCTTCTGCCTCAGCTAACGCTTAACATTCTGCACCATCCTTCCCAGCTTAAATCATTCTCCATGATAACGAATGCAAATTAGTACAGCCACTATGGAAAACAGTGTGGAGATTTCTTAAAAAGCTGGAAATAGAACTGCCATATATTCATTTCAATGTATGACAAAAACTACTGTAATGATGTAAAGTAATTAGCCTCCAACTAATAAAAATAAATGGGGAAAAAAAAAAAAAAGTAAGTGCCTGCTGAATACTGCCTGGGCGCTTTCTTTTGCGGTCTGTAAGAAGGACACCGTTTGTCCCAAGCAGCAAGGCCTGGCTTCCTCACGCTTCCATTTCTGTTGCTTCAGTTCTGCGACATTCTTTCTATCACTCAGGACTTTTGGTAAACCCAAATTACTAAAAAGGTTCCCCAGAAGCTACCTAGCGCTCACTGCTAGGCTTTGCTGTGCTCCAAATAACATGAGTAAAACGCCGCCATTTGCCTCTGCCCTGTGAATATTCGAAATAACCCCTTACAGGGTATTCAGAAAGGATACTGGCCTGACAGAATAAAGCGTCCTAGTAAGAACTAGCATGTGAGATCCCTGTCTTCAAAGAGGTTACACTTTCAGGAAGACTCGGGAGGCAACAGAAGCTGGAATCAAACACAAATTGCGCTCTGGCTTGAGTCGTCAGGCGTGTCCCACTCTCCGCGACCCCACGGACTGGAGTCCGCCAGGCTCCTCTGGCCGTGGGGTTCTCCAGGCAAGAGCACTGGAGTGGGCAGCCACTGCTCTCTGGAGGGCAACCGTGATCTTTAAAATGCCAGCGTGCTCGGTAGAGAAACGACTGCAGATAGGCCAAGTTGGTAGAACCAGGCTTCTGCTGACCTACAATTAGGAGTTTCGTTTAGTGATGAATGTGGGGCCTTCCTACCGCTGGGTATTCAATGAAGAGCACCACAGGCGTTCAGCCTGATGTAGAATATACATCTTCATCACTTTTTCGTTGCTTTAAAAAAAATATAGATATACATTTTAAATAAATAAATCCATAAATCAATGATACCAAGTTCCTTTTTTTCTTTAAAGAGCACTTGGCTAGGAGATGGGCAAAGGTCCTGTCCGTTGTGTGGAAAGCCTCCCCACCGACCCGGCTACACGGGGGCACTCACGAGTTGGCGTGGATGTAATCCAGGTGCAGCTGGGCGCGGAGCAGCGCAGGATACCTGTCGCCCATGTCCTGGGACACGGCCCGCGCGACCCTCGCAGCCCAAGCCGGGGCCCCGCGGCGTTCGGCGCAGCGCCACGCCNGCCCACGCCCACGCCCAGGCCGCGCCCACGCCCAGGCCGCGCCCACACCGACGCGCGCGCGGGCTCCCGGGGCTACGAGCACGGGCTCCCCCTGGCGGCCGCGCCTCGAAGCTCACCCTGCGCGGGGCGTCTCCCAGACGCCAGGCGAGCGTCCGGCAAGGCAAGCCCGTTGCGCATCTTGGATCCACCGTGAGAGGCTCAGAGGCTGAGCTAGACGCCTCTTCCCGAACTGAGGCTTAGGTGACCTTCCTAAACACTCGTTCTCTGTTATTCTCCAGCTGGAAAATAGAGCCCCAGGCGGGGGCTGTAATTCGATCGGAAATGATCGCGCCCAGAGACACACGAAACCACGCCGGACGGGAAGAATGTGTGGCGACGTCGGTGCCCGAGCAGGACGGGCGGCCGAGAACAAGGCGGCTTCCCTTCCTCAGAGCTGAAGGCGCTGTCTTCTCACCCAGCACTCGACCTACGTCACTTGGGTTGTGTCTTCTTCGCTTGAAGGAAAGGAAGAAGAAAAGAGATCCGCCAGAGAGAAAGGAAAGAACTAAAAGCCATCAGAACAGAATGCTGAGCCTTGGGTCCCCAGGGAACCGTTCTCACCTGTCAGCTGACGTTCAACTCAGCTATTTGACGTGCTGGCCGGGGCTTGAAGAACAGACGTTCTGTATTGTTCCAAAAGACAGAACTGGGAAAGTGGAAGGTGGAAAGAGAGAGGTTGGGGACAGATATAAGGCAGGGCTGTGTATGCCAGCTGTCCAAAAGGGGCCCCAAAGCCGAGTTACCAATACCCAAGCTGAAACAGGATTTCTCAGTGATGTCTTATGGAAAGGTCCTGCTGCAATGAGAAATTAATAGAACTGGTTGGCCTCTAATTGCTCAAACACATTTATTCTAAGGCAATATGACTTGCAAATAAGGTAGTTCAATAGTACTAGGCAGGCGTTTTATATGAGACTTTTAAAATCAGAAACAAGCATCTTTGGAATAAGAAAGTTGAACTAGATGTGTTGGTGATTTACAGGCATTACACAAGCAATGAGACTCACAAAAAAGAAAAACAATAACTTTGGGGTGCTCACTCTACTTCTAGAGAAAGAAGTTTATCAGTTACTACATATAAGACTCAATAGAGGAAGCAAGAATTTGAATGGCAACCCAAGGACACATGATGCTCCACTTTAATTTGAAAACTGGAAGTAAATATAAACATTTCAAGTAATCTTCCTGATTGCATTTTTGTTTTAACAGTGGCTATGAGGGTGTTTTGATAGCAAAATTCTCTTTACTAAGCAATGTGAGCTGTCTTTCCAATTTTTCCTTTCATAGAACTTCAGTGAAATATGACATTTTATTTTCATTTTATGGGTATGAAAAGCTTGACGAGCCTCTTCTGGATTTATTTTACTACCCCAATTTCCAGCTGCTACCTCAAAGCAATTTGCTATTGGGAGGGCACCAGAACCACAAGCCTGTAATTAGTAAAGGGCTGTGATACCTAATTTCTGTCAGAGGGAAGGGTGTGATTATCACAGAAGCACTCCTTCTAATAATCTGAGCAGAGCCCTGCTCCAGTGAGTGGGCAGTCCTAAGGCACTAGACAGGAGTTGGCCCGGATGACAGGCACACAGGGGATCTGCTCGATGGTGCTGAAAAAGGGTCCTGAGGAAGCTGTGTGTGTGTGCGCAGTCAGTCCTGTCTGACTCTAAGACCCCATGGGCTGTAGCCCGCCAGGCTCCTCTGTCCATGAGATTTGGACCTCTGTCCTGGCAAGAATGCTACAGCGGGCTGCCATTTCCTCCTCCAGGGGATCTTCCTGGCTGTACACGATCTGCCAAAAGCCTTTTCCCCATTTCAACTCTGCTTCACCACCCTGCTGCCTTGGAGGCTATTCCTGTTCCTCTTGAAGGTATACTTTTGGAATTGCCTCTTTTTGTCACGTCCCTCAGCCCTGCCTCGAGATTCATTTTAACATCATTTCATGATAAAATAAATACCAGGGGACCAGCAGAAAGGGGAGATCTTAAATGAGAACAGCACCTGCTCATGTTATGGTTGATCCTGATGTTAAGGACAGTCAATCTGGGATAACTAAACATTTCAACTTTGCAACGTTCATGTACTAGACACAAACAATGGATCAGATCTTTCAGACTCCACTTTCTCCCTATCACTTAAATAGTTGTGTATGAACCAACATTTAATTACATGAACATGTTTAAACTCAAGACAAAGTTTATAAACATTAAAAAAAAATGCTTGTACCTATCAACCATGCACACTGTTATGCCATCTCCAAAGAACTATGAGAAATAAGCTTAGCATATGATGATAAACAGAGAGAGCAAATGCTATTTAGGTGATACTATTTAAAGAGGCTAATGACCCTCAACTGATACTAGTGAAATGTCTCTGGAAGCAATTTACACCCTTCTTGCTCGTTTTCTTGCTTTTGTGTGAACATAATCAGTGTATTTTCATCTCTTCCAGTCTATTCCATGTTAGATAGTGGTGGAGTTTTCATTACAGAAATTCTGTTATCCATATAATTGACCACCTTTATATTCCAGATATTCAGCACAGTGATAAGCACCTCTGGAAATGGTGGCAAATATGAGGCCCAAAGCATGCCCAAAGAATAATGACGGTATTAAATGAGTTAGAAAATACGGTATTCACTCTGGGTTGGCTAACCCACTAGCCTTTTTCCCAATTTTCCTCTTTCTATTCTCAAAGCTGAAAATATGCTTTTCTAGACTCCCGTGTAGCAAGGGTGGCCATCTGACTCAGTACTCATAAATAAGATAAAAGCAGACCATGTGTTGAGTGGTTTCTAGAAAACCACTAGATAAAAGGCACAGGCGGGGCTGCTTCTACCTTTCTTTCCTGTTTCTGCCTTAAGTACAGGCACAACACCAGAATTTGTATTGTCATTTGCATCCATGAAGGGGAGTTCAAGAGAACTGTATGAAGCAGTCCCAAGCATTCTTGAATTACTAAACCAAAGCCAGAAGTCACTCACCTCCAGTTTTTTCATTATGAAATAAAACTTAATCTTTATTAGTTTAAGTAATTATAATAGGATTTTCCTTTAGTTGTAGCCAAAACTATTCCTGATAGAAAGAGAGACATAGATTAATGCTAGAAAGCACCAGACGCATAACTTCTTTCCATCAATGGGCAGATTATCTATTACAAGCTGTTATTTATGTCTTTTCGTGCCAGAAGTAGTAAATGTGAGTTGAGAAGAAGACACTTGCCGGAGCCATTAGAACGAAGAGGTAGAAAGGGGGGATGTGTGTGTGTGTGTGCAGAATGTTGTAACTAGAAGTGTTAGATTGAACCACAGAAAGAGACAGTGTTGGCCAGACAAGCAAGGAGAACGTTAAAGAGAAGCTGGAGTGTCAGTGTGAGATTTATGTTTAGTGTGATGTATAATTTGGAGCTGTTATTGGCTCAGGTATTGAATCACTTCTTTGGTGAGAGCCAACTCCATGGTGGGCTCCAAGAATATATAAGCAAAAATACCTTGTTTCTTCCTTCAAGGTGCTACAGTTTAATACAGGCAGAGTGTATCAGATTTCAATGCAGGAAAAAGAAACCATTCCAGGTACACCAGACACCAAGGAATATAATAAAGGGAAATAGATATTGACAGAACCCATGGAGCAGATAGAAGGGCCTGGATCAGGGGCCCACCACAGGATAGCTGAGTTCAACCTCGCGCCATGAAGCAGAACAGAGGGCAGCAGTCTCCTGATGCCTCTGATACAAGTGTCTCCAGCTCCCCACGAGGGCGGTTTCCACATACAGGAATGCTAAGGCTGGCCGGGGCCTCTGTGCACCCTCATCTCATGGCCTGCAGGATAGCAGCAAGACAAATACACTCTGCCTGTATTAAACTGTAGCACCTTGAAGGAAGAAACAAGTATTTTTGCTTATATATTCTTGGAGCCCACCATGGAGTTGGCTCTCACCAAAGAAGTGATTCAATACCTGAGCCAATAACAGCTCCAAATTATACATCACACTAAACATAAATCTCACACTGACACTCCAGCTTTTCACATGCAGAATCTAAGAATATGTTCTAGTTTTGTAATCTCTCTAACTGGAGACATTAGAGAGAAGGTATATGATGACTAAGGGAGACAGTGCACAGTTCCCACCACGCTGATGAACTTTTAAAGCCTCTTTTGTGCAGTAAGGTGTCACAGGTCCTCTGAGAGAAGCTCGGACTGCAGGGAGGGAGGTGGGTTAGAGAAGATTTCAAAGAAGTGGTGGGACTTGAACAGTGTTTTGAAAGATGATCTTGCATCTGCCAGATGAACAGAATCAGGATCGCCATGCTAGCTAGAGTGCTCAGTTGAAAAGGGGAAAAGCATGAGGCTGTGCAGACATTCATAAACAGCTCACCGTGTCTGGAGTGTGGGGTGCAAGCTCTAAGAAGCCTGGGGAGGAAGCGGGAGTCAGACCATGGTGGACTCTGCGTTTGCACTAAAGAATTTGGAATGGCTCCTATGGGGGTGGGAAGCCAGAGTCGGGCCTTCAGCAATGGAGTGCTATGAGTGAACCTGTGGTTCATAAGGATCACTCTGGAAGCATGTGAATACTAGGTTGGAGGAGCTCAAGCCTAGAAGAAGGAAGGCCAGTTAGCAGGGTATTGCAACCGCAAGTGAGGAATAACATCCCGAGCTGGGGAGAATTTGATGTTATGGAGAAAAGAAATGGACTGGTTGCCCTGGTGGCTCAGATAGCTATAAAGGTCATCTCTGGGAGATTTGCAACAAAGTGGAGAGGAAACCACGGAGGTGAGAGATGAGGACTAGAGAGGAAGAGATGAATATGAAAGGTCTCGATTAGGAAAATGTGGAAATTGAATTTCTAAGGTCACGAGATACTAGCAAATGCAGGGAGAAAATACAAATTTGGTTGGCTTAACTTGGTT